ACATCCTAGTCGGGCATGCGGGTCACGAGCGCGCTCATTTTGAAGCAAATAGCGTCCACTTGCCATATTTGCATTCGGGCATTTGTCGTCGGACATGTATATCCACGTGTGCATTAGTGCACCTTTTCGAGGATCGCTGCAGTGAACCCAGTACCCTATGTGTGTATAACAGGTATAGGTATATACGTTGCACGCGGGAAAAAGTCCAAGTGATGGCTAATTTTATTGGCTGCCTCAGTTGGTGCACGGGTACCAGTAGAACGGGCCGAGTACGGTAAGACGCATCCTTCAAATGCAGCTGCCCGTTTATACAGTTGACTAAACGCCACCGGCAAAACGTAGTAACGAAAACTGCGTTGGCGCCCCATGTAGATAAATATTATCTCGAGGGGGAGTGGGAAAAGCTATAGCTACCCGACAGATCCGGGCCCATCCTATTTTAGGAGTAAGAGCTGCTGGGTGAAACGTCATGTCGCAAATCCAGATAAAGAGGATTCGACAATTTTGCCCTATTCCTCACCTCAGCCCGTCTCGGCAAATTTGAATCGCGAGCTCGCTCTCGCGAGAGCGTTTGGTAAATTTGCGCGCGCCTGGCAGAGAGAGAGAGAGAGTCGTTGACAAATTGACGCGCCGAGTAGACACCGGCAGCAGCAACACGGAGATTCAGGGGTAACGGGAGCTAGTCGAGCGTGCCGGCTGGGGATCCGATCCCCCTTTGTGCGAGAAGTTCCATTTTGTCTCGGCTTATACCTCTTCCCCCTCCTCCTTCTATTATTCTTTGCAAACTCTTTGCTCTCTCGCATCGCAAAAAGCAGGCGCACACACTTTTTTTTCCCTTTTCCCTCTACGTAGGTATTACTGCAGGGGAGGAAAGGTTGCATACGGGAGCACGGAAAATCGATGCTTTCCAATTTCCAGATACTCGCGACGGCGGGTATTATTGCACCAGTTTTCCCGAATAATGGAAAGAGAAAATAAAAGCTCGTGTTGTCGTCGTTGTTAACCCCCCCCTCCCCCACCTTTCCCTTACCCCCAACGTGTGTATACCTAAGTAGTAGATGTATATTTATATGAATGGAGTAAACAGTGCAACGACGTCCCAATTGGCTCGTCGATCGTCGAGCAGAGCTTTTTTTTATTTATTTTTCATGTATTCCCTGCTTTTACCAGGCTTGTTACACTGCATGCGGTAAAACGTTGGCGGACGCGTCTGACAGAAGCGCCCAGCCTCGTCCCGGGGAAAATAAATCGGTACGGCTTCCGGATGGTTCCTTTTTTGGGAAAACGTTAATTTGAAAAAAGCCCCCGCACGCGCGAGACCAGTGAAGTATTTCAAGCACGTCAGCTGCTCCCCTCCTCAGACACGCCTTTGAGGGTAAAGTTTTTCGTACGTGGCTGAGAAAATTGAAACTTGGACGGCTACACGCGCCCACACGTATATTACACGTAACAACGGCAGCGAGAAATCGATCGCGAGTACAGAGGCAGCCTAATACCTCCGATCGAGGAGGAGGACTATGTACACGTGGCAAACACCCAAGGGGGATGCACAAAGAAATTCGAGGTACCGCGATCCGCACGCGTGGGCTTTGAAATTCAAAGAGCCCCGGCAGATGCTGCAAAGTTTAGGATATCGCCTCTCTCCCGAGCCTCGCGCAGTTCCCTTCCTTACTGTACTATCGTATAGCCTCGCTGTTTACGCGCGCGTGGCCGTGGGGTACGATCGCAAAGTTGCGCGTTATTCCGGGCACGCGCGAAATTACCAGGGAGCCCCGTGGCAACGCAGGGCAGGAGCGATTAAGATCGACCGCGCGTCGGGTGACTTTTGCCAGGTGCCCGTAATGGCCCACCACACCCCTCGCAGCCGCGACAACTCGCAAAGTCCGCGGAGGCGAAAATTCAATCTGCCGGTGGCGAGATATCTCCCGACTCCGCCTCTCTGGCGAGGAGGGGGGGGGGAATGTTTCCGTCGCCTCCGCGGGGGCTTATCGGGCCATTTCCATTTTTCTCCGCGACGGGCCATGACTCGCGCGGTGATTTAGCGCAGCGCTATCTAACGCACGGACAAAAGTCCCGGGGAGGAGCTCTTCAACCAGGCGACAATAGTATATATACACACCTACCGCTTCTGCAAACAGCACTTCATCTCGGGGCCGCTCGCACGCAACCGAGGGAATACCGCGGTATGGGAGGTAATTTATGAGTCGCGAATGAAGCGTCGAGGCGCGTCAACGCAAAAGAGAGAGAGAGAGAGAGCCGCTGCCTCGAAACTTTGAGACGTGCCGTGAGAAATTAATTGGTCCACCGGAAGGTCCCTCTCTCTCTCTCTATCTCCTGGAATTAGCGTGGGAGATGCTTCTGGCATGATTAATATATTACACGCGGAAACTCTGCCGCTCAACTTTTCCTGGATTATTCATCCACGCGTTCAGAGACAGCGGAGCACATTAGACGCGCAAGCAGTTGGTATGGATGAACTCTCTCGCTCGTGTCGGTATGACATATACGTACAGGATGCCAACTTTGTGCGGTGCGTGTATGCTTTATTTACATGAAAAATATGTTCCAAAGCCATGGCACACCTGAGTCTTGTTTTCTCGTCTCGAGGCGGAGGAAGTAAGTATAGGAGGAGAAAAAGGTATCTGAAATGGCACGGTTATATACATGTCCTCTTGCGCGGTGGTCTGTGTTTTATTTTCTTTCAGAAAAGGAGAGAAAAAAAGGGGGGGGGGTGGAAGAAACCAAACTCTTGCACGTAGCGAGTCCATTAGTCGCTGGAGAGGCTGTGGTATCGAGGAAAGTAGCGGTATGGCTCCCGCGGGAGTTCGCGGTGGAGTGGAGGGGGCAAGACGAGCAAGACGCGCCGATTGGCAAGTCGGCTGCTGGCAATTTCCGAGGGAAAATCTTTGAAAAGTCCCTCGGTCGGCAAAGTCGTGGCACGTGTTTTGCAAACGTTTCACGCCCCCCTTTGACCTTTTCCCCGTCACGACAAATTACAGGAAAGTAAAGCTTATTTACTCCTCTCTTTCTCTCTACTCCTTTTACAAGTTTATATACTATGATGCTCGCAAGCTCCTTCGATCTGTCAACGCAGTCAATTCATCATCCACCAAGTACAAGAGTGTTTTTCACCGATTGCTTTTTTTTTTTTTTACCCCCGATAAAATATTTCAAAGCCTTTGTAAACTCGGTGAAGCAAAAAAAAACAAAAAAAAAAAAAAAAACACGCGAGTAAAAAATTGATTCTTGTAGCTTATATTTTCACTCTCCGAGCTTTGGTGTAGTCCATCAGTGTGTGGGTGCGTTACAAAGCAGTTCCCGCATACCTGCAGGACAGGGGACGAGCCACGAGGCATCGAGCGGGAGAGAATGTCGGCCGCCCGCAAGCCGTCGAGCATTTGCCACGACCCGCAGAGAGCCGATAGTTCACAGCCACCTCCAACGAGCCCCCATTGTCTCGAGATGTCGATAATTATGTTAGTTAAACTATGCCACGTAGCGCCCACGGACCAAATTTCGGGAAAATTAAAGCCCAACCTCACCCCGTAGAGTCGGATATGCTCTCGCCAGCTCGTTAGGGTTTTTTGGGGGGAGCCGATCGTTGCAAAAGTACACAAGGGGGGGGTGGGGGAGAAATGTCGACCACCGCTGATTATAATTCAAGGGCTACGGGCGTACACCTTGTATGCGTTAATAGCGCGTGCGGTACGCGGCTCCCACCCCCTCATCAGCATCCGAGAGCACATGGGGCGAACACGAAGCCCCGGATATCCCAGGCCTTGCATCTAAATCACGTGCAAACGAGGCAACTTGTTAGCCCGCAGCACCGGCTGCTCTACCGATCAACGTCTTGGATATCCGATATTTATACATACCTATATACATGCGCTACAGCACGGCGAAAGCCCCGGTTGTACTTTCCCTGTCGATCGGATACGTGCATGTTATATAGCGTCTCCTCCATTGGTTTTCGGAGCTGGGCTGATGTATTTCACGTAATCCAAATATTTCGATAGCCACGTGGTCAATTATATAGGTATATGTATATATACCTGCTGTCTACCGAATTTCACATTTACAGGCGCACCGGGCTCGCTTTTCCCTCGGAAATGTACAACGGCGCGTGCAATAATTCATCCATTCGAGTCCCCGGCGTCTTATTACGGCAAGGGGGTGGAAATTCATTCGGCGGAAGCCCTCGATAACGACCCGATCGGAAGATTAACGAAAATTGATTAATATGCAAATGCAGAGGCCGTCGATCCCGCGCGGGGCTCGAAATATTCAATTGGAGCCGGATGGGTCGGGCTGCGCTCCCCCGCACGGAGATAGTACCCCACCCCCCTTTCTCCCGATACTTTCGACTCGATTGGCCCTCTTTCGACGGGCGAGAGGGTGACAAACTACGGGGGCTCCGTGAATCGGAAAAGGTATGCCGGTTCATATTACCGAGACGCGAAAATCAGACTTGGCTGCACTTGTCGCCTATCTATCTATTACGAATCGCGACGAATGCGCCGTTTCTTCCAATCCGCCCCTTCTCCGCTGAATGTTTGATTATCCTCCCGCGTGGTGCTGACAGTGTTTTATAATGCCCTCGTCTCGTACAGCTCGTTTCCACTTCCCTCCATTTTACATATAATACATGTACGTATAGGGGTAGCTCGGCGTGGTGCTGCCTCAGCCCGGGAGCACACACCTCTGCTCGATATTCCTCCGCCGGGCGAAACGAATGAATCGTCGATTTCGCAGCCCCCTCGACAGTGAAATGTCACGCGTTCGCGATAAAACATCATTGTGTATGGGCCGAGTGACAAGATTTTTCACTCCCCTCGAGCGCTGGGCCGCACATAGATTGTAAAAGCGAGGGAGTGCTACTCAAATTGAAATAGGTAATGGTACATGCAGTAAATGAGAAAAAGCACACATACAATTGCAAGTTTTGAAATGAAATTTAATTAGGTCTACAATGGCCTTTTTTTTTTTGTGTGTGTTTGCAGGTGCAAAGAGCCGGGCAGGTATTTGAAGGACCTGCCGCCGACGTCTGTGATCATTTGCTTCCACAACGAGGCCTGGTCCGTTCTCCTGCGTACGGTGCACTCCGTTTTGAACAGGTCGCCCCCTCACCTCATTCAGGAAATCATCCTCGTCGACGACTACTCGGACATGCGTAAGTACACAGCTACACATTCGACACGGCTTATTTTCTGTTTCTCCTTTCAAAGCGGGGAGTCAAAGCATTGCTTTTTCCTCATTCAACTCGGAACAACATTGCCAGCGCGGCTGTACAGATATTTAATTGGCTTCGTGATTCGCGTGCAGCAGTAGAAGCGAAAGCAAAGATTTGCCGAGGACTCTAATCCGGTGCATCGGCGTGTATACAGCCCCTTCGTTTCTATTTTCCGCGCTGGCCAGTCGTCCACTCTACTGGCCTCTACAGAGCTCGGGAGATAAGCTCCTGCGAGCACTCACGAGCGACCGGAAGCGAGCCTCATAAACACACTTGGCGCTCTCTTTTTCCACCTTCTATGTACTGCAGCGTGTCTCTCCCTCCTCCGCCACTCCGTCCCTGCAGCCCATTATCGTCCATTCCCTCTACTGCGGATTCTGTATATATTTATGCACTCGGACGGCCCACATATACACGGATATGGTACTCGATAAGAGAGTGTAATCGAAACGAGATAATCAACTCCCCGCGCGGGATATTTTTGCGCGCCCCGGTGTGTTTCGGATCGAGAGCCGGAAAAATTTTACCAACTAATTACCTCGCGCGCCCCAATTTCCATCTAAATCCTGATAATCCAGAGACTCTTTTTATCATTATTATATAATATTATCCACGCGTGTAATAACGAGCCCGCGTGAATGTAAATTGCGTCTTAAAGCGCTCTGCTGACGCTTATAATACCCACGCTCTTTTTTTTGTCCCCTCTATTTGCGAGGGTGCGAGAGTGTGTGTACGTAAAGGTAAAGTACCACAAGTGGACTTTTATGTTGTTCTTGTTGTTTTTTTAACACAAAAAAAAAAAATGCTCGTGATTATAAAATATGAATAACGTTTTTATCCTGAATTTTAATAAGATGGTTTTACTTTTTTTTTTTTTTTTTTTTTTTTTTTTTTTTTTTTTTTTTTTTTTTTTTTTTTNCATATAATTAAAAGTGCCCGTAGAGTAAACGAGAGAGAAATGTTGAATTGCAATGTAACATGTATTGAAAAAAAAATGTTTGCTCGCTCGCGTACAGATTTAGCCCTAATTTTCGATATCCACCGCATATACGGTACACACAACGAGGAGGAGGTGGAGGCTCTCCTGTACACCGTGATTATCACGAGCGCCCGTAATACACACGGCGAAGGTGCCAAAGAGATTAAGGGTGATTGTTCGTAGAGGCAGGGAGGTCGGGGGCTCGTCAAGTATACACACAGATACCGAGGCGTGCTGGTGTATAATGGTACCGGCGATTTTCCGCGAGGGTAGTATAGGCCGAGAAACGACGCGATTGCGTGCATTGTGCACAATGTATGTAAGTATGGGTATAGCCATAGAGCGGTGGGGAGGGGGCTAAACCGCTTTGGCCAATGTACGTACCTATAGGGAGAGAAGACAGGGTATATAGCCGGCTCCTCTGATCCGCCGGCGAATCCCCTCACGGCCCACTGGCTTCGCGAGCCAAATCCCACCGAGCACGTATACCTGTAGGCATCACTACTTTCATGCATGATGCAAGCTTAAGATCCCCGCGTTGGCTATACCCTCCCATATACATGTGGGGCGTACATTCGTTATTGTTCGTATAAATGAAGGCCTAGATCGGGGAGGTTATTTTTACACCGTGAATTTCCACAGCCCACCTGAAGCTCCAGCTGGACGACTACGTGAGGAACTACCCGAAGGTGAAAATAGTACGGGCGGCGAAGCGCGAGGGCCTCATCCGGGCGAGGTTGCTCGGCGCCGCGGTGGCCAAGGCCCCGGTGCTCACGTACCTCGACAGCCACTGCGAGTGCACGGTCGGCTGGCTCGAGCCCCTGCTCGACCGGATCGCCCGCAACCAAACTACCGTAGTCTGTCCGGTCATCGACGTCATCGACGACACCACTCTCGAGTACCACTGGCGGGACTCGGGCGGCGTCAACGTCGGTGGCTTCGACTGGAACCTACAGGTTTTTACATCTTTCGTTACATTTCCCTGACCACGTCCAACTACATCATTATATACTCAACGCGCCCAATCGGACTTTAATTATTTAACATCTGGTTTCCGATCTAACATTTTGCTTTTAATGAAAAATGCACGTCGACCCACATGGGTACATGATCGATTTGCATTTAACGATTTGTTTACTTTGGCGTTTCGCTGAATTATTGACATGGAAATCTAATTTCGAGTCGATTGATCTGTATATTTATGGTAATAACCGCGTCACCGAAATAACATTTCACGCTTATATATACTATACGTACAACTCGTGGTGCAACGCGGATTATTCCCGCGTTATAATGGCTCGATATAATCATGACTTCGAATTTGTATTTGCGTATAATATTATGTTTACTTACTCGTAGCTCCGATGTACACGTGTGAATGTGAAATGATACGCGCGATCGCGTGAAGATAAATATACAATTTACTGCGCGACAAAAAAAAAAGAAAAAAATAAGATTGACCCCTATCGGTGTTGTCCAGTTCAATTGGCACGCGGTGCCCGAGCACGAGAAGAAGCGTCACCAGAACCCAGCCGAGCCGGTTTGGTCGCCGACGATGGCCGGAGGACTGTTCGCCATCGACCGCGAGTTCTTCGAGCGCCTCGGCACCTACGACAGCGGCTTCGACATCTGGGGCGGCGAGAACCTCGAGCTTTCCTTCAAGTCGTGGATGTGTGGTGGTGCGTGCATCCTTGCCCTTACATATTTCATACATGCATTTATACGTCAGTCCGTCCCTTTTCATTTTGGTGAAAAAATCCCGGGTGCAACTTTGTCTTTTTCATCGTGACGGGTGCAATTTAAAAAAAAAAAAAATCCTCGTACAAGCGTTTTTTTCTATTGTTTTTTTTTTTTGTTTTGTTTCTACATTCCCGTCCCGTGGGTGTACTCCTCTGGGGCACCAGAACTTTGGATCTCGTCCCGGCTGATTAAGCGTAAAAAAAAAAAAAAAAAAAAAAAAAAAAAATAGCAAAGGAAGAGGTAGAGGTGAGAGGAAAAGGAAAATAGCCGTTCTCTCTGGTTGTGTCCTCAGGCACCCTGGAGATCGTCCCGTGCTCTCACGTGGGCCACATTTTCCGCAAACGCTCGCCCTACAAATGGCGAAGCGGCGTAAACGTGCTCAAGAGGAACAGCATCCGGCTCAGCGAGGTGTGGCTGGACGAGTACGCCAAGTACTACTACCAGAGGATAGGTCACGACAAGGTTGGCTCATCACTATCGTTTATCTATTAACACGCTCACATGTGATTTTATTGCCAGTGTCCTTTCTAGTCTTGATATATCGAAAATGCGGGTACACGGCAGCAGCGATATAATCCCACGACTTTTTGAATAATATTGAGTTTGATGAAATATCTCACTTGTAACAGAAAACTGGAAAAACGCGATGTTTTTATTTTGCATTTAAAGAGTAGGTCATAATATATGCGAAAACTACATATATCCCGGTCTCTGCTTTTCCATTTGCAGGGAAATTACGGGGACGTGTCGGAGCGTAAAGAGCTGAGGAAAAAACTCGGCTGCAAGTCCTTCAAGTGGTATCTCGACAATATTTACCCGGAGCTCTTCATCCCGGGCGAGGCGGTCGCTTCCGGCGAGGTAAGTTACCGAAAACGCGGCGTTTCCATCACACCTTTTTTTTTCCCCCCACCCCCTCTTTGAGCTCTACGTACATGTATACTCTTGCGCGAGCTTATACAGTTGCCAAACCGCATTGCGGTGCCAGGCTACCCGACGCTCGTTCGTTCATCCACGTGGAATCGCAGTATCCCGCACTGAATTTCGTCTACCCGACACCCCATTTTTTTTTTTTTTTTTTTTTTTTTTGTTATTCGTTTCACTGTTTTCAAGTTTATTTTGTTTCCCACGCAAAGTTGCCTATGAAATTTGAAAGAGTGACCCTTTTTTTTCATCCACACGGTCGAAAGAAATTATTGCGCCACCTACTATATTCCACATTTTTCAGTGCAAGCTATATATATAAAAAAAAAATTTCTTTCCCCCATTTCGAGTATTTTTCAACGTCACTCGTTCAAATTCACAGAGCAAGTGAAAATCCTATTCAAACTCGAAATCGCGTTTTCCGATGTCTGTTGAGCAAACGGCATTGTTCAAGCGTTTCGACGATCTCAGGAGAAAACGTCACCCATATTTCACCAACTGCAAGTGAAATTCGCGTGTCAGAACAGACAAAACACATGGCAAACAACAGAAGGGCAAAGATAAGGTTCCTGCCGCTGTTGAAATTCGTTCAAATTAAAAAAATTCGTGTATTACAATATACTATACCTCCCGCGTTCGTGTGTGTATGTCGTTGATAGGAAAGCATTATCGTACGCCGGCCTGTTTTCTTTTGATCGTCCCGTGTGTTTCGCGTAATAGCCTGTGCCTTGGCCTCCCTTTGGAAAACACGGACGCGCCCGCCTGCACGCGTCGATAGTACAGTCCGGCCCGTCGCGTCCAAAGCCGCTTATCGCCGTGCCGCGTCCTTTTATTTGTCCATGTACGTGTGTGGGGTTGCACCACAACCACCACCACAGCTATCTAACTAAGTGCACGCGTGTAAACACGCAGCGATTGGGGCGTATTTTTATTGCCAAGGCCTCGGTTTTATATTTATTTTCGCGCCAAACTGCGGCATGTATATATATATACGTACATAAAAAGCGAAAGAGCGCACGTTTTCCATGTTTATTTATCTGGATTCTTGTTTTTTTTTTTTTTCTCTCTTTCTGCGCCAGCTGTTTTTTTTTTTTTTTTCGGAACAGTAGAAATCACTTGCTCGATTTTTTGGCGCGCTCCGAAACAAATGCTAAAGTATGCACCGTCCGATCTATACCGGCTGTCGCTGCTCGTTTTATTTAATTTCGTCGCGTCGTCTCTCGCGTTTCCAGCAAATCACGTAGAAAGGCACCAAAGAGGCTTTAATTCTTTTTTTGTTCTCTTTTCCTCAATCCCCCCCCCTCCCATGTGCTATATCCCGTGTCCGCGAAAGAATTAATAGTTTGCACGCTGACCCGCAGTGGCCCCCTCGGTATGCTGATGGTAATCGCGCGACGAGCGTGAATAATTCCGCCGGCGTCTCCTATACGTGACAGCCTCCGAGTGGCTGCTGATGCTGTTCCGCCGCTACAGTCGTTCTCGCTTTTTTTTTTTTTTTTGCTTTTTTTTCTCGTATTTTGTTTGCCTCGCAGTCTAATTACCCACGCTGATGGAGGAGATATTACAAAACGGCTTCCGCGTGCGGAGCACGAGTTTGATGCCGAGCGCGTACCGTTTCTGGCAAACGGATATGACCGCGTATTTATAGATGCGCTTAATTGGTTTTATCTTTTTTTCTTTTTTTTTTTTTTTTTAATTTGAACGAATTTTCAGCCAAAAACCCTTACTGTTTGCAATAAATGACGTGCTTCTCTCTTATATCAATACGCGTTGACGGACGCGAGAATTTTTTTTTTTTTTTTTATCTAAAATGTTAATTTTGTATACCTATGCTAAATCACCCTGACAAACATCAACATCATACGTCACGTAAAATCACAGCGCGTGAAACGCCACTTTTTACGACACATAGTATATATATGTTTAAATTCCAATAAGTAGGAGGGGATTTTTAATGGTTTTACACAGTTAAAAAAAAAAACATTACAGCATTCTCGACGCCATCGGTGATTTTCCTGGCACATATCTTTCGGAGAGGCACGCGGATAAAAAAAAAGAAAAAGTTGGTCTTGCTCGAGCACAGGATTATAGCACGACCAACTTTTGACTTTTAACATTTTCAGGATGAAATTCGCCGATGCAATGGTACACAGAAGCAGCAGCAGCAGCAACGAGGGAGTTTCATCGGCTAAAAAAAAAAAAAAAAAAAAAAGATAATAGCAAAAAAATTAGGCACAATTTTTTTTTCCCCAGCTACCCCCACCGGAGGAGCTAATCGGCTTTTTAGCCAGTAGCTGTGATCGATAATGTTCCAGGCTCGGAGTGGATGATGATAATAATAATCACAAATCCGTTCCTGCGTTCCTTCCGCTGTAATGAACCCTGTAATTTTTTTTTTCTCTGCCCTCGTGTCCCCCGCACGCAAACTCGCCCGACCATTCCACAGGAGAGGCGCAGGAGGAAGGACGCCCGGAATTTCCAATGGCTCTCCCTCTTCTCCGCTCGGCGAGCTTTTATTCTCACTCCCGCTCGAAAGTTTGCCAGTTGAATTCTCTCGCTCCGCTGGTTCATACACATTTCTTTTTCTTTTTTTTCCCCCCCCCCCCCTTCTCTCTCTGCGCGCATTGCAGATTTTTCGGAAAATCCACCGCACTCCGNTTTTTTTTTCCCCCCCCCCCCCAACTCATATCACCCGGCATCTAGCTACGTGCAGCGCTCCACACACTTTGTGCTCGTTTTGCGCTTCCGCGTCCACATTAAATCGAGAGACCGAGCAGTAGCAAGTTGGGACAAATCGGTCCGACGCCAACTCGATCGGCCAAACCGAGCGCCCCCAACTGCGCTACCGGCCACCCGGATACGGGTGTTTTCGCGAGAGAAACAGAATGTACATTTTTTTGCACCCTTTTTTTTCCCTCCCGCGTTTGGATAAAAAACAAAAAACACTCAAAAGCCGTGGTGCTTCGGCAAACACAACGTTTTAACGCCCACCCGGGCATCGGTTGTACTGTTTTTTCATTCGTTTTTACGAGGTCATGAAAATTCAAACACGGTGGAGGCAAAGTAAAAATCACGCAAAATTCGATACACGAGCCGGAGAAATCAGAGAGCGCCGAGGAGAAGAAGAAGAGGGAGCGTGGCCATCAGCACGATCGTCCACTTTCGAACGTAAACGAGGCTCGAGCAAATTATGTCTTTAAATATATACTCATACATGTGCTGTTATATACATATACTAAGAATGATCTGTCGAGAACTACTGACGTCAACCTGATACAATTAGGTGAGAAACTTGGGCGAGGGCAACAAGACCTGCTTGGATTCGCCGGCACGCAAGGCCGATTTGCACAAGCCGGCAGGCCTCTACCCGTGCCATCGCCAGGGAGGCAACCAGGTACACACGCACAAACGCACGCACATTGTTTTCACAATGTATCTATATAAACACATGTATTTTATAGTGCCCATGTGTGTGTATTGTGTATTATATATAGCTCCCGCTGCTGGGCGCGTATCGAGCTACTCACTTGTGTACACCCCCCCCCCTTCTCTGTTCTATACATAGGCTACGCTTCTTTGTTCACCCTCGCATCCGCCTATACTCTATCACTATGTTATCCCACTCGAGCACCTCCTCCGTCAGTTATGGACGCTTTTTTCGCCGTTACGAAAAAAAAGTTGACTTTTTACACGACGTTTTTTATTTTTTTATTCCTTTTATTAAGGTCAAAGGATGATTATGACCATAGTGGACGGAGACAGGTGCTCCAACACCATCATCCCTCGCCCTTCGCGTGTTTACGAGTGCTCCTTTGCACAATCTCTGTTCTCTCCTGTACACTTTTCTGCGACGATTAAACCCCCATCGCCATTTTGCGCGTGTGTTTGATGTATCGTACAACAATGCTCATTACCACCATCATCATCATCATCATTATGTTCCATATACGTACAATTATACATATGTGTATGTTGCAATGATCGGGAGGCTATATATATATTATTTTTATAGATAATCGTAACAATAGCGAGAATAAAATGGCAGTGATAATATTATATAATATACGATGTACAAAACGGACGATGCGGCAAACGAGACGAGCCGTGGCCGGTGCAGCCATCACAGTCGCAAAGCAGTAATCGTACAAAGAGCATAATATAAAATAATAACCATCAGCTGGATGTATACATATTATACTTGATGATGATAACTGAATTTAAAATTTTTGTTTTGTCCTTGATTCGTTTGAATGCAGATCCGGCATTTGATTAGCGGAATGTGCGTAGACTCGCCCTGCGAACCTGACGACCTGCACAAGCCCGTGGGCGTGTATGAGTGTCATAACGAGGGCGGCAATCAGGTACACACGACGCCTCCGCCTCTCTTCTTCTTATATCCTCCTTATATATACGTACCAGTAGTTTAACACTCCTGTTATCTTCAGACCCCACCCTACCCCCCCCCTCTTTTGCCTTAATAAGACATACATGGATGTATGTGATTGTTGTATACTTTGTATTAAACTATACTTCCGGCTAATAATCCACATCGTTCTACCACTGCTGATGCTGTTGCGCCGTCTAATCGGCGTATAACCCCGTGCGTAGTTATTATTTGTTATCTCTTAATTGTACGGAGCTCTCGTTGGCTTTACTCGGACTTGGTTACTGCAGGACTGATGGTCGGCGTATATAACTTTGCCCTCAGGTGGCAGCCCTCGGTATACATATATGTATTAACGACTCACTCGGTGGTGGTGGTGGTGCTGATATATTACACAGTATACCGACCTTCGTCCAATATCTGTTATTCCCTGAACTGTACATATTTGTCCTCTGGATGGAAATTACTTACTCTCAACTCCCGCCCGTTCTTCCCTACACGCGCAGGAAGTGGAGTCGGATCAATTTGACTTTTTTTTTTTTTTTTTTTTTTTTGTATCGCTTACTTTAATCGATTGGATTTCTTGTGTCGATCACCAGAAATCGTTCAAGTACATCAGCTTCCGAAAAATTAATAAGACCGCTTCGGCCTTCCGTTCACGCAAAAGTAGATCCATTAACAACCGATCGTCATCATTGTTCGCCCATCATATACATCATGTTATAATAACAAATAACACAGGCTCGTTGTTTCATTGTAAAATTACTAAAACCTGAAAAACGCTTTGGGGCTGTCTGTTGTGTGTAACCTGAATGCTGCTAATTAATACATGCCATTCCTGCAACCCGCAAAGCGCAATAAACAAACCACTTGATGGAATTCGTCACCTGTACGAAGAAAGAGAGAGAAAAAAAGGTCCTTTTTCTTTTTTCCCCCTCCTCTTTTCAATCGAGTCAGAGACACCCAGGGAAGAGCAATCCCAAATCCTCTCCTCGAGCAACAACTTTTCTCGGTACATCTAACAAAAAAAAAAGAATGATAATAACAAAGTAAGAGAAGGAAAAACAAAAGAAAAGAAAAGTAAAAGAAAACGAGCGCCGAGAGTGTGTGTGTATATACGGCCGAGAGAAAGATACTTTCCCCGCGCTCCCTCCCTCTGCACACTTCTTTCCCGTGTACCCATCGCCGTCGTCATTTCATTCGGTCCTCGTCGCCGGCTCGTACGTGCGCACGAACTTCCCTTCCGACTCCCTTTTTTTCCCTTGCCTGCACCCCCATGGCCCCCTCTGTCATTGCCGAGGCTACACGATTGCTCGAAGCGCGTATCAGCCGGCTATATATTATAACGAAATCGAGTGCCTCGGCGACGTCTCCCCCCCCCCCCTCGGCCAGTCCCGGAGAGTAAACTGCTTACGCGCCATCCGCTCGTTGACGTTTCTTTTTCCTTCCTTCCTTCCTTCCTTCCTTCCCTCCCCCACCCGAAGACGTAGAGAAAGGAAGAAAGAGATGGCACGAGCCTGCAATCACGCGCCTCTTGGACGCGGGCCCGTTAAACTTTGCCTTGCCCCCCGCACCAGCTTCTTCTTTTTCTCTTACACCTACACAACACTCCCCGCTCGCAAACTGCCTGCGCTCCTCTATTTTTCCCCCGCTCTCCCCCCCCCTTATCCACTGTTTCCTCTTTGCTTTTTTTTGCTCTTCTCTTCTTTTGCTCGTATGTATACTACGTAATATATACCATACGCGTAACCGACCACCCTAGCGCAGGTGCTTACGGCGTCTGTGCGCGCTTGTGTGTGTATATGTATATAATAACAACGTAAGTGTAACGTAGTTTCGCCGAGAAAATCGGAAAAACGAGGTCCGTCGTGGCGCGTCTAACGATGATCCCCGGGAAGGGAGAAGTATATAACGCGATGCTCTGCTTTCGCCGGATGGAATCCCGCATGCATTTTGCCACCGTATAGCCGTGAGCCCTCGCCCACGTAAGCTGGAAATACGTATACGGAGCTTTTCTTCCGTTACAGCACGGGGCTCCGCGTGAGTAATGAAGCCTCCGCGAAAAAAAAAAAAAAAAAAAAAAGGAAAATTGCCGGCGCGCATTTTTTAACGGCTACCTAATTGGCGCCCTACTCGGGACGGGTCCGCGGCTACGGTGGAACACTCTGCTTTTTTTTCCCCTGCGTAAGTAATTGGACCCGCCGGTGCTTTTTGCAAGCTGTCCCGAGGCAGCTTTAACGCTTAAGCGCGAGGCTGAAATGCCGGGCAGCGAGTGCATGAACCAGCATCCTATATCGCTAATTACTCGCTCGCCGCCCGATCAGCCCGCCCGTGTAACCACAGCTGGGCTATATATGCACGTGCCAATAATATTTTCAAACTGTCAGAGAGAGAGAGAGAGAGATGTGGGAGATGTGGTGAGCGAGGTTGTATGTGTACAGGGTGGCTGGGAAATTTCATCATCCGGTCCAGGGGATAGAGTTCCTCGACTAATTGTCTCTTTCTTTCGTGTGTTTTTTTTTGTTTTGCACCCGCGCAGTACTGGATGCTGAGCAAAGCCGGGGAGATACGCAGGGACGAGGCCTGCCTCGACTACAGCGGCACGGACGTCATACTTTATCCCTGCCACGGGAGCAAGGGCAACCAGCAGTGGATTTATGACCCTACGGTGAGTTTTTACCCCTATACTCTTCTAATGATAACAACGGGACGACGGTGTCGACCCTCGGAAATGTTAAAGCACAAGTGCCCTTCGAATGGGTTTTTGCGAGGAAACAATAAACGAAACGAATGTAAACATTGCCGCCGAGGTGGATTCGAAACTACTTTGGAGAGCCAAACAAATCGCTCTGGATTCCGTTTGTTTGTTTGTTGGAGCTTGCAAAGTTTTTGTTGTTGGAAAAAAAAAAAATCGGAACAAGCCGTGATGTTTCGTTTAGCATCCTCCAACAAATTGAAATTTTTTTTTTTTTCGCAAGCATACGTAGTTCGTTTCGAAAATCTTAATCGAAAAGTTTCTTTGATATTGCGAAGCAAACTTTTTCCTATTCGCGAGCATCTTTTCTCAAAGTGCGTTTTAATTAGCACAGTTTCGAAAAATGGCTTCTCGTCCGGAGAATCCTTTCGATACCTACTCTTTTACTTTTACTTTTGAAATCTAAAAGAAAAACCCCGTTATCCAACAACTATATCCATAGGTACACCAAGGACCACAAAAATGGTGTAGTTGTTTATATGTATATATATATATACCGATGCGAGCAGGTTTTGCCCGGGCAGATATGTGTACAATGTACATGGTAGCCCGTAGGTATGTATTATTTATCCTCGCGAAGCATGCGATGCCCAACACAATACATCAGGATTCGGCGCGTGAAACTCGCTCTTTGTAAATACATACACCTGTGATGATAAAATACGCGGAGGGAAGTCGGAATCACTGTGGATATATATATATATATATATATATATATATATATATATATATATATATATATATATATATATATATATATATATATATATATATATATATATATATATATATATATATATATATATATATATATATATATATATATATATATATATATATATATATATATATATATATATATATATATATATATATATATATATATATATATATATATATATATATATATATATATATATATATATATATATATATATATATATATATATATATATATATATATATATATATATATATATATATATATATATATATATATATATATATATATATATATATATATATATATATATATATATATATATATATATATATATATATATATATATATATATATATATATATATATATATATATATATATATATATATATATATATATATATATATATATATATATATATATATATATATATATATATATATATATATATATATATATATATATATATATATATATATATATATATATATATATATATATATATATATATATATATATATATATATATATATATATATATATATATATATATATATATATATATATATATATATATATATATATATATATATATATATATATATATATATATATATATATATATATATATATATATATATATATATATATATATATATATATATATATATATATATATATATATATATATATATATATATATATATATATATATATATATATATATATATATATATATATATATATATATATATATATATATATATATATATATATATATATATATATATATATATATATATATATATATATATATATATATATATATATATATATATATATATATATATATATATATATATATATATATATATATATATATNAAAAAAAAAAAAAAAAAAAAAAAAAAAAAAAAAAAAAAAAAAAAAAGGAAAAAAAAGGAAAAAAGAAATTATTTTTATATTTTTTCTATACGACAGGCGAAATGGAGATTTGACCTAGGCCTTGTACATTTCTGTAAGATAAATTTCAATCTACGACTATGTGTTGTCACCACCTATACTGTTATTCCAGTTAATAATATCTCATAGACGACGAGAACGGCGAGAGATCGCAATTGCAGGATAAATTATATACATACCGTAGGTATATATACATATATATATATGTGTGTGTGTGTATGTATAAAATAATATTAATGCGAGAGAATTTTGTGTTGGCGAGAGGGGGTAGGAAAAAAATCGCCCTCGATCAAACGGGGGCGAGTTGAATTATGGGGGACAGATTTTTTGATTGATTAGAGAGAATTATGATGCCGGATGGCGTGCGCCCGAGTGAAAAATGTGTGTGGAGCGAAAAGAGCAGAGAACGGCGAAACAGTGCAGTGACCGAGAGAGACGTTCGTGCTCGTGTTTTATGTATGTTACTGTACCTGTACGAGAGAGCCTGGATGTCCGAGGATTTGTTATAATACGTGACTGCGTGCAATAAGAAAAAAGAAAGAAAGACTAAAAAATATCGGCCCATTACAAGTTGCCAATTATTAATTGACGAATGATTGCGGGGGGGGGGGCACTGTGCGCCCCGTTTCGCGTTCATCGCTCCGTGAAGTCTCGTTCTCTCTCGGCTGACGTTTGTTCATAGAAATTCCCGAGACAATTACCGACGCCTCGTTCTGTGTGAGAACAGAGAGAGTGAAGGTACCAATTACAATGAAATATACGTGGCTCCTCTGCCACTGCTGGAAAATTCAGCCGATGCATCGTTCCTCGCCCTCCTAATTACTCCGAGCTGGGAGGGGGTAAAAAAAAGGTATATAATAGCCCCTGCGTCTATCGATCGGGTCGGATTTTAATCGACGAATAGGGAATGTGTCGGGCGAGCGATGAGTCCGTCGGACTGTGCATTTATATACGTATACTAATACTCGTCCAGTGGGACGACGATCCCCGTGGAAACGAGACGAAAGAGAATTCAAACGAACCAGGAGATTATTGTTATCATTTACTGCTGGGTTCTTTTTCTTTGATTTTTTGTTTTGTTGTATTTTATTTTATATGTATGAAACGAGTAGCAACAATTCTTTTCTTGCCTTTAAAAAAAAACATTTTTTTCAATTCTCCAGTAGTTTTCAACTGTAGAATTTAAATCCCTTGTCAAATTAAATCGAGATATTACAATTGCAGACCACAATGGAACGTACAGTGTAAGGTATTTCAGAAAATATTGAATAAAATGTTCACAATATGAAATGTTTAGTTTTTTAAAATATTTATTNGTATTTTATTTTATATAAAAGTTATTACAGGAGCGATTTTAATGATACGTGCTCATGTTAATGCAGCCGTTGAAATTGTAAAATGAACATCAACGGATGATAAGATGATGAGATTGTTCAGAACGAAATTCTGTACGCAAACGCGTGTATATACACATTGAATGATTATATGCGTGGACACTTTTTTACATTTGGTATAATAAGAACGTGTGGCATATCGTAAGGGAAAGTGACATATGAGACGGCGCGGCGACGCTGTGCTGTTGAGTACTTTTTTCACATCCAGTGCAACGGACGTCGCGCTTTTATCGATGTAATATCGAATGTGCCTTATATTTCGTGTAAATAAATATTAAAACTTAGATTTACAGTGAAAAGTACTATTGTCATCATCACGAAAACAAAAAAAACAAAAAAAAAAAAAAAAGATCTACTTGTGCAAGCATTTGTGTTGAATAAAATTGATGTTGTTTTATGTTACGAGATTATTGTTTCTACATGCACAATACATCCTTTTTCCAATCTTGTAATAATAATAGAAATAACTTTTTTTAAAGAATATTGAATCCTTTTTTTGCGATATTTTTCACCTTGTACTATACCAATGAAAACCCTCTAATGACCTCGCGTTAATTTTTTTTGTAAAGTAAAGAAAAAAAAAAAACATTTAGGAACTTGCGGAGAAATTAATTTCAGTATGCGTGAGACAACCAATTACCTACGCCAGCACAACGAATTCGTGTAAACGCCGATGTATTCGAGAGATTCAGCAGGAAAGCCCTAAGCTGGTGGTAAACATATGATTCGCGTGTAAACAAATAACACAAAAGCCGAGGTGTACTTTCAAGAGTAAAAGCGTCAATTAAGCACCGTAGGATGGATTAGCTCGTTGATAAAGCTCGAGTGTAGCGTAGCTCGGTAGAGTGTAGCAGCCCTCGCGCGGTTCGTTATTCCAGCGCAGCCGCATTACCTACCGACCCGCGTTACCTCTCTGGGGCTTTGCACTTCATTTGCTCAGCCGGTCTCGTACTAGAATTTTTTTCCCTTTGAAAAATTTCTTTGAGCTTTCGAAGCCACTTTTTCCTTCTCAAGGTCTCTTATTCCTTTTCCTTTTTTTTTTTTTTTTTTTCTCTTTGATTCAAACGGCCAAACGACCGTGTCGAAAGTACATCGCAAACGCGACCCGTATTTTTGAATTTTATTTCCTCTTTTGCGCTTCAAAGCTCTCAACGTTGAGAAGAAAAATAATATACGCAAGCTCCGCGCGTGGAGAGACAGAAAAAAAAAAAAAAAGAAAAAAATTGAGAGCAGCACACAAATGAACCATCCCAGCTCTGAGCTTGACCTCGTTCCGTTCTCCCCCCCAATCCACAGCTGCCGTTTGAAGTGGCCCCTCCGCGTAGAGGTGCAAGCCCATTAGCCGAGCTCTCTCTCTCTCTCTCGGTAAACAATGAAAAAAAAAAAAAAAGGGCCAACAGCGTACAAAACACATACACGTAAACATGCACAAGGCGACCCACAGCTTTGGGGCTTAATTTCGAGAAACGAAATGTCATTGACTTTTGTTTGTCTCCTCCTCCAACCGGATGGGGCATCAATGATTTAGGCTGTTCTCGTTCGGGGGAGCCGAGAATGACATCGGCAAGGGGGTGCAAGCGCTGGGAAAAGTGAATCGCGCACGTGGCAGCCTCGAGAGGGTGCGCGGTTCGATCGAGCCGGCGGCGGCGCAGACCGTCGCTTACGACCTTGCGTGGGTGGAAACGCGTAGTACCCGCGTTGTCGCCGTCCTCGCGAGCTCCGCAGTTGCTTATTCCCGGCGTGGCACCCGTCACACAGCAGCTCCGAAGGTTCGTTGGGTCGCTCGTCAAAGCTAGCAAAGGTGTTGTTTCGACGCGCCAACAGCAGCTGCAGCCCGACGGCCGACAGGGCTCCGGGACCCGAGCAACAGGTACGTAAGTTGCTTCGTCGCGACGAGCCAACAAACGACCAATAATTTGGGGGGGGGGTTTAGAAGCTGCCACGCGGCACTAGGGGGCTCGAGGAGGGCGATCCGGGGGTGCGGGTGGACGAGATGCCGGAGGCGGCCTCGAGCTCGGGCGAGCTGCTCGACGAGCAGGACCACTCGATCTTCGAGAACAAGACGGGCCTGGCCGAGGATCTAAAGTTCCTGGCCCGCATGCCCGAGCTATGCGACGTCACCTTCCTGGTGGGCGAATCCAAGGAGCCGGTCTGCGCGGTCAAGGCCGTTCTCGCCTCGAGGAGCAAGTACGTACATCGCCCCCCACCCCTGACCTTGTCACCCCGCGCTCTATATACACATGCACGCGTAACTTGTATTTTTCTTTGCCACTGGCCTCGAACAATTTTATTTGTTGCCGCTGACTGCGCCGACGCCCATGTCCGTTTAGGGTCTTCCACAAGCTGTTGTACCAGGCGCCCAGCCCCCAGCGCAAAAAGGAGCAGGTCAAAGAGAACAAGCTCAAGTACTTTCTCAAGCGAAGCTCCGAGCCCCTCCTGAACCTGCAAAATGCCGCTCAACAGGTAACCATTTGACTCTAGTTAAATAAATACCTACTGCATCCCAAGGTTTTGCAGTGATCGACTTATTACTGCGGTAACTCCCGGTCAGGGTCTATAAGATAATCACGTTAACTTCCTTCGTGTCGCTCTATACAGTCAAGGCGCGCGCAGTTATATGTATCAATGAGGGTGCACCTACATATTATTCTCGAGATACAATGTTTTTGCCGTACGCGTCTTTACTTTTTTTTTTTTTTTTTTTTTATTGCTGTATACTTATATTCATCAATTGCTTCTTACTTGTTAAACTGACAGTTGTTATGTGTATTCCCGTAATAAGTCGTAAAGTTAACATTACCAAAATAACAAGAATTTCAAAGTCGATTTAATTATTACATTGTATGAAATGGTACAAGTGGGCGTACGACAATGGCGTCGGCATTTCGAGTTAAAATGTTAACAATAGTTTTATATAAATATTTCTTTAGATTCACAATGCAATCAGGTGTTAGAATTATTCAACCGAATGAAAAAATTTTATATAAAACACCGTATGTGTTATGTGTCACTTAGCGATCCGGCTTTACGCAGCAACTGGCTTCCATTCAAGAGGTACAATAATTAATAAAGCAACTGCAATTCTTTCATCCTTTGGTATTTTTTTCTGTAGTGCCAATATCATATACCTACATATTTATTATCAATCCCACGATTTTAGAGGTAGACCTTATTGTAGCTACAGGTACTTTGGTGCACAAAATCCATTTAGTTGAAGTAGTATGGGTATGATCACGTCCAAAGCCATGTTTAGCAAATATTTATGTTTTATTATCAAAGTACCCACTTACCCATTTGCACATTGAAAAAAAAAGAGTTTTTTCAAGCATGTGCATGATCTTCGACTTATCGTCATCTCCTCACGTTAGTACATACCTACCTACAACCTACATGGTCAAAGCTCGCATCGAATTATGGCGAGGCGCGAGTAAACCACCGTTGGTCAATCATTATACCACACATGCACTTCGGCCCTAATTATTACCCCATGAAAAGACCACGAATTTCTTAAAACATGAAAACAAATTAATCACTTAGTTATCACGTCATACCATCCCTTATTGGTATATGGAGTAGTATCACATCATGCAACCATATAGACAATAACCCAGTTCATGCACTTGAAGTATGTAGTGGAATGAGACAATAATCGTTAATTTGAAACCGATTTACCAACACACGCAATAACGTATATTATAAATGTGGCAATGAATAATAATAATAATAAAAATGAAATTACGTTGATACTTGGTAGCCCCAGTCCAACCAGCACCACACACTGGTGGTGAAGGAATTCGAGGCGGACGTGTTTCGCCAGCTGATCGAATACATTCACACGGGATGCGTGACCCTGCAGCCGCGCACACTGCTCGGTAAGTGACTCATCCGGTACCATACTTCCCTTTAACTCACGAAAATCACATACGTTGTAAATATGTACCTATAAATAATCCACGCATATACGGTATCAGGGGTAATGAACGCGGCGGACTACTATGGGCTGGACGAGCTGCGCCGGGCGTGCGCCGGCTTCGTCCAGTGCTGCATCACCGTCGACACGGTCTGTGCCCTGCTGGGCTCCGCCGAGCGGTACATTCAGTACAAGTGCACCAAGTCCCTCGTACAGAAGGTAATACAACCAACTCTTCTTCCCCGCTCCATTATTAGTTATTCCATGTTTCGTGTTTCTACATCTCCACTTTTTTCCTTTGCTCTGCACGCGTATCAAACATATATGATCCATCATCCATGATACAGATATCGGAATAACAAAGCCACCAAATTGGTGTGTACATAATAACTACTTATGATAACACATGGTTACAATGCCCAGGTTTTGGAGTTTGTCGACGAACGGGGCAACGAGGTGCTGAACCTCGGCTCGTTCACTCTGCTGCCCCTGCACGTGGTGCGCTTGATCTTGGCGCGGGAGGAACTCAGTGCCGATGAGTTTACCAAGTTCCAGGTGTGTTGATTGTCGTACATCCTCATTTCAAGGAAAAGGGATAATCAAAAGAGAGGACGGTCATAGAATTTTCAAACTAACGTGGTGATATGATTTAAATGTCAAGGCGGCTCTCATGTGGAGTAAAAAGCACTGCGACAACTACCCGAACCAGGCGCTCAAGGACGTCATCGGCAACTTTCTCGAGTACATCCAGTTCCACAAGATCCCGGCGACGGTGCTCATGCACGAGGTCAACCCGCTCGGGCTCGTGCCCCACTCGATAATCGTCAACGCTCTGGCCTACCAGGTGCGCCCAACAGTACAACTACATTGTGCTCCTTTAACCAATAGTTAACATAAGACATATTGATGATTCGACGGGGGGGTCATGGGGGTTCATGTGTCTGTGCTGCAGGCAGACCCAACCAGTGTCGATCCCGAGCAGTTGTCTCCCCACCGAGTGAGGAGGCAGGGTCGCAGCATGTCCGTCCAGTCGTCGCTGGACCCTTACGGCAGCAACGTGAGCCTCAACTCGCTCGGCAGCGAGGCCGGATCCGGGAGCGACCACCGCCAACACTCGAGCATGGCCTGACAACCGTCATTGGACCACCACCACCACCACCATCATTCGCAGCAACAGCTTCTCGGCACGGGTGTGGTCCCCCAACAACAGCAGGACCACAAGATCGTGGTGCGCGCGGACGTGGAGGTGGTCACGTCGCCACCGACCCCGACGCCGCCTCCCGGACGTACACCTTCGCCGCCCGCGCCGGCCGCTTCCGAGCCCTCCGGCTTCTACATACGCATGGTGCTACGCCAAGAGGGACACCTCACCAATCTCGTTTGGCTTTTCAAGACGCACAAGTTCTAAGTTCGATCGCATCGTGTTTGTATACCCTTCGTCGTTGCATACCTATGTCACGTGCCGTTCTTACTGTATCGTGTGCCAGAGAAACCTGTACCAAACATTTCGATTCTTCACGTAGCTTTTTTTTTTATAGTTGACTGTAGTTTTGATAATAACCGAATAAATTAAAAAGGTACGACTCTATTTTTAATACTCAGGTTAGATGTTGTCCGTGCAAGGGACAGCCACGCTTTTAGTCCATCAAGGCCAATTGGACATTATGAGATTATTGGTATACATTGGTACCTACAATATTTCACGGCAAAGTAATGAACCGTCGGTTACCGTGTACCCAATAGGTATTAGCTTCTTTCGAATCTAAATTTCTCACTGCCACGCTCATGGGCGATCGCTAACATTTTTGAAAAAAGAGAAAGAGAGAGAGAGAGAGTGATTAGAAAGGAAGATACGATTGAAAATAATCCGCGCAGAAAAACAAAAAAAAAAGGAGAAATAACAAAAGGGCCCACGCTTCCCCTCTTGATGTCTGAACTTCTCACACGTCTATACAAACTTGCAAGTACCTATACACTTATAATTATATATGTATAAATATCGTAATAAAAAAAAAAAAAAAAAGGAAAGTACGCTATTTTTCCAAAAAGCTATTTTTTGAAGCAGAGCGTGGGCTTTGCCCCGTTCCGCCAAACTTATTGTCGCGACATAATACTTATTACTACCATATACTTGAATGTAAAACGGCATTGTACATGTATGTGTACATACGTTGCTGGCCAGCGTGCAAAAGGTTTTATTCATTCAATAACACATACTTACTTGTTTATAAGATACTTTCACCCGAGGATAAAACTATGAGGCTCATTACGTGAGATTTTAATTGTATTCATTCGCTGAATATGGCGTGTATCATTAATCTTACATTTCACATATTATTCCTATACCGTGAAGCCTTTGAATGTTCAGATCCAGTTGTATTTTTATCGATAAGAGCCAAGAAAGAGAATATAGTTATATATAATAGTTATACTTAATAATCAGTGGATAAAAAAAGGCGTTTGTTGTCGAGCATTTACGCAGTACAATGTTTGTGTGAAATTGTTGTTGTTAATGCCAAATTTANGCTGTAGCTGTTGTTGCGGCTGTAACTGTTGCTGCTGCTGTAGCTGTTGTTGCCGATTACGTTGATGGAACGATGCCAGAGATTGAAGGTTCAACTGAACCTTTAACTCATTCATGTTGAAATTATCTCAAAATTAAATATATAATAGTTATACTTAATAATCAGTGGATAAAAAAAGGCGTTTGTTGTCGAGCATTTACGCAGTACAATGTTTGTGTGAAATTGTTGTTGTTAATGCCAAATTTACGCGTACAGGTAAATAATAACAATGGTAATGACGCGTAATTGATTTTGCCGTCGTGTATACTTGAAATTGTGCAGTGAGCGTTAATGTCAAGGTCACGTGAGACGCGCTTGTGTCAGTATCGAAGCACGCGATCATATTACTATTGCCTCAACATCCATACCGCAGACGACTTAATAATAACCTTTTACGATCGAGTGAAAAAAAAAATATAATTAAAAAGTGATGAAATCCACGTTCATTGTGCTTGATTCTCGACAGAAGATAAAATCATCACGATATGTATACACACAATACATGTGAAAGTTATCTATTATGTATGTATATTATGTACACGCGTTGTAATTGCGATAACCTACTGATGTGTACTGTTTTATCGCGTACATGATTTACTGTACTCATTTCATTTATCCGTATGTACATTTTTACGTTGGACAAGTGAATTAAATTCGTTGTTTTGTCGATTGACATTATTAAACCAGAAAATGATATTATAAATTGTGTTTTAACATGATGTATCATGAGTAAAAAAATTGATTCAAAACAAAAGTGCAGTAAAAGAAATAATCAAACAAGTACAAATGATAAATATTTTCAGTTGAATTTATAAAGTAATTTATATACATAGTTTATCATCTTGTTGTACATTATAGAGTGGCCTTCCGTGTCTCTTCCTACGACTATACATGCTATATATTTATAAATGTGTTTTTGATCAATGACTATATATAATAATCATGTAAAAGTGTAAGTGACATCTATACATATTTCACATAGCTGTGTATCATGTCACGGAGCTCGATTAAAATATAGTTTTTTAATTATTTATGACCGTTCAGTATGCAAATAAATTACATTCATACAACACGTTTCAGCTACTTTTAATTTAAGTATTTCAAACCCCGAGCAACTTTCCATTTTTTCAACTATTACCATTGTCATGAGTAATTGGTGCTCTATAGTGTTGAAGCGGTATCCATGCCGACCAGCCACTGTGCGTAACAACGCGACACCAATAGTATTGCGGATAACCTGAAGCATCCGGTGGATCTTTGCTCTTTCAACAGTTGTTATTGTTACGGAAAAATTTACTAGTAAAAACAAAAAAAAAAACAAAAATGGTCAGAATGCAGTATCAAGTGCCAAAAGCGCGCTCGACGTACTACCTCAAACCAGGACAGACTCTCGCCAACACCAAAGTAAGTTGAATTTTGAAAAGTACTGACAATTTTTTTGGATTAAGCAATAATTGTCATATTTATGTATAAAAAAAAAAAAAAAAAAAAAAAAAAAAGCCTTCCGAGAGAGCCTTGGCGCTGATCGTTCCGAAAAGCGTTTTCGAAGGCTACTACGAGAATGCGTACGAGAGCGAAAGATTCGCCCTCCTCGCCGAGCGCGAAGCCAAGAGACTGGCGGCCCTCAAGGAGGCGACCTACCAGATGTCCAAAACGTGGGAGGATACAGCTCAGGTGGGTACAGTCCCCAAGCGAGGTTTCCTAGTGGTAACTCGTCGAGTGACTTTGTTTGCCACAGAACATACAAAAGCATAGGCGCCAGGAGCTTTTGAACCGGAGGAAAGTCGAGGAAGCCGAGAGGATTAAGTTCACGAAAGAAATGGCCCTGAAGAACGCGGAGGAGCGCGCCAAAGTGGTGAAACAAGCCAAGGAGCTGCTGTTGTACCGGAAGCCCCAATGCCGGCTGATAAGTCGAGCCCTCTTCGTATCGGAGGTACGTTGCTCCAGGGCCCAGAGTTTTTATTCCCACGAGTGGTGGTGGTGGTGATGTATTTTTTTGGCAGTGTTACAGGGAACTGAACGAGCAACTGGAGTCTCAGAAATGTTTGCGCGACAGGCAGGAGAAGTTGAAGGCCGAGGAGGCTCGATTGATCGAGGAAGACGTTGAAAAATTTCGCCTGGAGGAGCAGCGGAAGCACGAGGAGCGCATGAACAAGCTCCAGGCTCACAAGCGCGAGTTGGAGAAACAGTTAGTACGGCATCGCGTTGCTTCGCGGGTCGTGTACTATCCAGTCGCTTGACGCGTGTACTTTGTTGCAGGATCAGGGAGAACGAGGCCAACTTGAAGAGTATCGAAGAATCCATAAGAAAGGCGGAGATCGAGGATAGGAAAAATATGAGTAAGGAACTCGAGGAAATCAATGAAAGGGAGGTGCAGCAGTTGCTGGACAAGAAGAAGAGATTGAAGAGGATGTTTCTCGAGGCCATCGAGGAGAAGAAAGAGCAAGAGCTGAAGATCAAGCGGGAGGAAGAGTTTCAGAGGAAATCCATGAAAATTTATCAGGATAACAAAGTGCAGGTGGACAAAACAATGAAAGAGAAGGCGAAGGCGGAAATAGAGAAAAAGATACGTAAGCTCGAGATAGTGGGTAAGTGTTGCCATTTTTTAATTATTTACACCCCTTGGGGATCACTGAATTGAATGTCATTCTATGTTTTCACTAGGTAAACGTTTTCGAAGGATCGCGGATATGAAACAACGTGCCAATGAGAAAGAAGACAAAAAGAAGGGAGAAGCTGACAAAGAGATCGAGGAGAAGAGCAAAAGGGAATTACTGGAGTTGATCGAAAAAAATAGGCAAAAGAAGGAGAAGGCTCGCCTGGAATCGCTAGAAAATATGAAAAAGTACGAGGAGCAGTCAAAGCTGCGGAAAAAAGAAGAAATGGACTTGAAACTTTGGGAGACCCTACAAAGGTACAAGCGGGATGAGTTCAATAGAGAGTGGAATCTTCAAAAATTGGAGGAAGAAAAGAGCAAAAAGATGAATTACGGTAAAATCCTCAAGAAACAGATGGTAAGTTCGGTACATTGTATGTTTCACCTATGCATGTAATGGTATTTTAGAGAAAACATTTTTAAGAATTAAATATTTGGTTTAATAACTACGACGCATACATGTAGGAAGAAAACGATGTCAAAAGAGAAAAAGCTGCTGCCGACGCTGATGATTCCGCAATTATCAACGAGATGATAAATAAAGAAAATGAAAAAGTATTGACCTTTGGGGAAAGAGTTTTGGAGGAATCTCGTGGAGTTCGACCGATTCATTTGATTGTTAAAACTATGGAGGTATGGATATTATATTATACCATCCAACAATTCTTAACTATCTAGAATTTTTTAAATAAAATGAATTTGTTTAGGGACTGAAAAAAGACATGGGTTTGATTCCCCTGACGAAAGCAGAAAATAGTTATGAGGTCAGTTCTGTGCCGAAGAAAAAGCGGGGACATCGAACTTTTTGCAATCGTCCAGTAAACGAAGAAAATGCTTTTTACTTTGCTTGAACAAATAAATCGCATTTAATACAATGACGATCAACTTGATACTTTGCTTCATATTTCTTATCTAATTTCTTATATTTTTTGTTAAAAACGTTTGGTCTAGAACGAGAAAAATACTCTTGGAATGCTCTAAGAGTAGATACTCGAAATAATTTAACAAAACAAACACGAGATAACGAAGAAAGCATCAACACAAACGTGTAAATAGATTTGTTTGATTAGTATACTTATTAAGAAGTCTAGAGTCTGGAGTTGATATATATATATATATATAATGTATAGGTAACAGTTTTGGGACTTGAAGTGCACCGAACTTTGTACCTACTTAATCGAACAAATGAATAAACAAGTAGTTGTTTACTTATCCATGCACGAATCACGAAAGAGGCTTTTATATTAGCAAAGCAAAAGTAAATCGTAGAGTCGAGAAAAACGAAAACTTGACGTGCGGTGGCGCCTGCGTACGGCTGCGGCTACTTTACGAGTATATAATATATATATAAGAGGCTCTCCTGTCAGCTGATCTGTGTGTACGCTGCTGTGTGTGAGTGCGCTGCAGACGACATAGCCTGGCGGGCTCACTGCTCAGATTTCAAGCGCATCGAGTTTAGTTTGGTTTTTCGGGTGGTGTGCAGAGTAGGTATAGTATAGTGGTAGTACGCGAGCGTTTGAAGTGTACGTCGTTGCGTTTCTTCATATTCAAGCGAGCCCCGGCAAAATAAAATTCGACGCTCGCTGCGCGCTGTCCAATGATACCTACTTGTTTTTTGTTGTGTTGTGTCCGAGCCGTCACGCGCACGCAAACCCTCCCTCGTGCCCCCAACCGACCCCTTTGCACTTCAAGGCCGCGTGCGATTCCGAATTCCACCTCTGCCCGCCTTTGATCGCCTTTAAACGGTAAAATATTTAGAGATCGACGAGACTACTGCACCCAGATACTACGTATAGGGAATCCAGGGCGGAAGGACTTGTCAGAACGAGAAGGCTGACGACTACGACGACGAACCGGAATCTACGAAAACATGGGCGAGAAAACAGTGCCAAACTCCATCAAGTTCCTTATTGGCGGCACATCTGGGTAATTTTAGTTTAAGCTCCGAGTAATTTATTGGGTATTTAAGTTTTTTCCTTACGTCATGCAGGTAATTCCATCAGCCTCCGCTCTCCTCCACTTAGTCCCCCTCAGCCCCTTTTTCCTTTTATACGACATAATTTTATACTACCCATCAAACACTGTTATTCCTTTCCGTTGCTCTACTTACTTTTTTTTTTTTTATCGTGGATCGCTCTCATTGCTAGATGGGCAACGATGTGTTTTATTGATTGAATGCTGCATCAATTGCACGTACAATGTACTCTTTAGATAAACAGTCGTTGTTAAATTGCGACATTATCATCCATGTCAATTATCCTATTGTTTACTCCTTGTTGATGATCAAATTTTGATTCTCATATCTATTAGCTAATTTTAATTCTCTTTTCTTTTTTCAAAATTACAGCATGGCAGCTACTTGCTTTGTGCAGCCACTAGATTTGGTCAAGAATCGCATGCAGCTGAGTGGAGGAAAAACTTCAACTGCATCAGTGATCTCGTCTATCTTGAAAAATGAGGGTATCTTTGCGATGTACAATGGACTTTCTGCAGGTCTTTTGCGCCAAGCAACTTACACAACAACTAGACTTGGAATTTATACATGGGCGTTTGAGATAGCATCGTGAGTTTCAATGAAAATGTAGCTCAAGTTTTAATAAAATGACTCGTTATTTTATTTTATATAAACGTTAATCTATACAGAAAAGATGGCCCACCAAGTTTCTTGACCAAGGCTGCTCTTGGAATGTTTGCAGGATGCATTGGAGCTTTTGTGGGAACTCCAGCAGAAGTTGCTCTCATAAGAATGACATCCGATGGCAGACTACCACTAGGTAAGATCTTATAAGCTCAACTAAGTATATTTTTGATCGTTTGCCAATAAAACAACTTTGTTATAAGACATTAATGGTTATTTTTATCTTTGATATAGCTGAAAGACGGAACTACAAGCATGTCATTGACGCACTTTGTCGCATAACAAAAGAAGAAGGCGTTTTCACCCTGTGGAGAGGAGCTATTCCTACAATGGGACGTGCAATGGTTGTTAATGCAGCTCAGCTAGCATCATATTCACAAGCAAAACAAGCCCTCTTGGATACAGGTAAGTCATGGTAACCTAATTTTTTATGCCCATAATTTGTATAGGTTGCTATTACAATTTTGGCTAATAATTAAAACGTCTAGGATACTTTGAGGAGAACATAACTCTGCATTTTGTAAGCTCTATGATTTCTGGTCTAGTCACAACAGCTGCTTCTATGCCAGTTGATATTGCAAAAACAAGGTAAAATTATTTAAAAAGTTAAGTTGTCTACAAAATCTACAGACAAAGAATTATAATAACAACTTAACATTTTAGAATACAAAATATGAAGACAGTTGATGGAAAGCCAGAATATAAAGGTGCCGTTGATGTGTTGATCAAAGTTGTTCGCAATGAAGGATTGTTTGCACTGTGGAAAGGATTTATACCGTACTGGGGACGGCTAGGTCCCCATACTGTCTTGACATTTATTTTCTTAGAACAAATGACGTCTGCGTATAAAACTTATGCAGCATGATCTCTGAAGATCTAAATTATTTTCAACTATTCCATTTTGTTGTTAGAAAGTTCAAATCAATAACTACAGGGATTATGAATGGATTTTCTATTTTCTGTAATTTTACGCTTCTAAGTGACGAAATATTTAAATATTTTTTTTATGTTCTATAATTCTACAACTCTACGCTTTTAAGTAACAAAACATTCTTGGTGCATTCTTTTGTAATAATAGAATCGTCTGGCACGATCTCAATACCCAGCTAATGTTACGCTATTGATTTGAGACTAAGTTTGATTGTTATAAGTTATAAGTATTGAGTAACTGACAAATTGTTATTAACTTAGGATTCTATATGTACAAAGTTGAATAAGCACACAGTTAATGTTTGAAACTATTTTTTAAATAAAACATTGTTGCCAAATCAGTTTGACTAAACGTGAGTTTTCACGTACAGAGTGGCAACAAATGTGTAAATACTCGCAAAGCGAAGATTGGGGAGAAATAAACCACATTATTTAATCAATCGGACAAAAACCTTCCAATTTTTAGTTTGTTGTACAAATACTTACATCCTAATTAAAAAGTTAATTACTCGTTGTGTTCGTATTTTTGTTTCTAATCCATACAGATAGAAAGATATATTTTAAATACATTATTTCTTTTTGAAGAAATACAACTTTTTAACATCGAGTTGACCGGTGTATTATTTGTTTAAATTCTTCGTTTCTTGCCAGCTGTAAATCTCCCTCAATAAGCTAAAAGCCTTCATTATCGTCTGAGCACTCGCGGGAAAGATCAATTTATCAATAGGTGAATTTAAGTTAACTACTTACATTTGGTCGACTTTTTTAAATTTCTATGCTCTTTGACTAGTTGGGACCGAGTGAGAGTCAAAGTTAAAAAGTAAATTCGCACCGAGAACACGTGCGTATATTTGAATGGCAATGTCGCTGCGGGTCTTTGGAGGCTCCAATCGTTAAGGACAAGAAGAGCAAAAGAATCGCCGTCGATGAGGCTCGAGATCGCATTGCTTTGAGCTGTGGTTGCCTCCGCGTGTATATGGTACCTTTCCTGTACATACCAAAGTGCGAGCCCTCTTCTCTTTTATCCCCTTAAGCCATGTCTCTTTTTCTCTCTTTCCTGCTTCTCCCCCGCTGCGACGACGGCTCCTTGGCCCCTCTCGTCTTTCTCTCCATGCATATATATACCTGATGCTGTACATGCCTCGAAGCGTATTGGCTCCTGCTGGACCTAAATGTAGGGGATCGGATCGAGGGCAACTGTTACTGTTGCTACTGCATGTAGCGTTCAGTCAAAGTAATATGCTACCTTCAGGGACGCTAATATTGTGTGTAGAAAGTTTTTCCTAGTACTTACTGATTGTATATCATTGAGGAATGTTAGGTATGCTCGGCTTTCTTGAAATTCGGACCAAACGTAACGCATTTTGAATGATCATGTTTCGACAATTACAGCGATATACCTCTAAATGATGCGGACGAAATCGGTATGAACCGATTTTCTTTGTTAATACGTTCGTGCGCTTCGAAAGTTGCAAAACGATCATCAAAACGCTATATGTCTAAGTATACCTATACATTAGGAGGCTGGAAACGAAACGATTGGAGGTGGAGGAGATGACGATTTAAAAAAAAACTATAAGCGTTCAACAATTGCAGGTGGATTGAAACAAAAAAAAAAAAAAAACAAAAACAGATTAGAGTGAATCGGTATTATTTTTGGTCATTCGATCGTCCCTTCGAATGCAGAGCGTGTATTTTATCTCATGTGCCACAAGAGTGGACGAGAGAGAGCTAGCCACGAGCACGGCGACCACCACCTCACAGCTAAAACATTTAAGCACATGAGCTCGTACGCGTATACCTGTATACATAATGCCGATTGCGGGTGTGTGGCGCTCTCTCTCTGCTCCAGGAGAAGGTGGTGGAGAGGCATGCAGCAGGGGCTGATGGAACGCGTTGGTGCGCGCGCAGCCGCTTTGTCTGCTTCTGCAGAGATCGAGCTCCGACTGAGATGTGTGCGAGAGCGAAAGAGAGGGCGGACGGGAAAACGCGCGTGTATATATATATATATACGTGTGCTCACACGCTCTTGTCGACGACGGCGGCAGCAGCGGGGGTTGGGCAGAGGGGACGAGCGAGTGGCGGAGCGGACGATGGCCATGGCGGAGCGCAGTTCAGTCGGGCGCTGAACCCGTGCTCCGTTCGGTTGCCGCCACCAGTGCTGCCTATACCCTTCGCCGCTCCTTGGCGTTTCTCCGGTTATCCATTACTGTATACTTCATATACACTTTTTAAATATATTTTACTCCACCAGTGAAGTACATTTACGGAGTATCGCGTTCCCTACACGCCCCGGAGTCCCGTACGGTATCTACATTAGTGAATCTGCAAGGGTCTTTCTTGTTATTATTTTTTCAAAGTTGCAACAGCCCAAGTATACCACAAAGTGCAGTATATGCAAATATTGCCGACACAATTGTCGGGGGTTCACGGAGCCAGAGAAAGAGAGAGAATCCAAAGACGACCAGGGAAGCTGGCCTGGTCGTCCTGTTTGGCTCCAAAGTAGAAACTCAGTTCGGAGCAAGACGGGCGCGCTGGCCCCGTGCTGCGGCCGCTCGGCAACGGTTGTTCCTCTCGACGCCGACAGCCTGCAACGACGACGTCCCAGCTTCTGCATGGTGAGTTTTGTTTCGTATTATATACTCTCCCGCTCGATTATAGTATATTATAATACATCAAAATGCATACACCAGCCCTGTAATCACAACAACGTTCCGCGAGTCGTTCTTTTTGAATATGTATTGATTTGCGATCGGATCCCGCCAATCTGCATTGCCGATGTGCGCGATCTTTTGTTTTTCCTCACGCGCGACTGGGAGGAATGCGAGAAAGGCGCGATTGCGAGGAAAAAAAAAAAAAAAAAAAAAAAGAAAGACAAGTCGAGCGATGCACACGCAATCGTCCCGATCTCTTCCTCCTTTATACATTACCTTCTTCTCTGGGCTCTAGACGACGACGCGTTACCTCGGAAATCTGTCCGTGTCCGTGTGTGACTTTCTCCGTTCGTTCGTTCGTGCGTGCGTGAGATTGGTATACCTATCGTTGCCGCCGCCTTTGACGTTAGACTCCCCATCTTACTTAACTATATACCTGAACTCTGTATAGGCATAAGCCCAAGTGACCACAAATCTGATGGGAACGCTCTTCTTACCTTACTCACATTACCCGCTCGACTTGCCTTGCCTACGGGCACCTTACGTGTAGGTACAGATAAAATGTGTATACTTGTTCGGGCGCTACCAGGGATGTACAATTATATGTATACAAGCACACCTATCATTGACGATTTTAAGAGCTGGACAGTCCCGTTATCGAGAGCCCCAAGTAAATAATACCCGAGATCCAATGAGTTTTCCCGCGAATTGAAGGGCCGTGCAGATATAAGTACTGTTATGTGTGGCTGATGCTGTTGGGTTGCTGCCGATGCCAATGTTTAGCGCTCGCTCGAGGAGGTGATGCCGATCGCGCTGAAAGTATATTATACAAGTACCTACTTAATATTATGATATACCTACTCACGTGTTTTACAAGTGTACAGCGACTGGTAGCTGCAGCTTTTGGAGACTTTGACGCGGGAGGAGGACAAGTATAGGATCTCGTTTTCGTGCACGCTTCTAAAAATATACTTACTTATTCGCAAGTTTGGCGTGGCGTTAAATCGTCATCCTTTTGTTGGAGTATTTTCTCCCAAGTGTACGTTTTACTCGGTCGAGAGATTAGTTTCCAGTAAGACAGTTGATTTTTTTTTTTTTTTTTTTTTTTACCGTCAGATACTTGTTTAAACCCCCTCAAAGGATAGGGTGTGCCTAATGAGCTGCATATATTATTTGCTAGAAATATGCTGACCGGTGATTTTTTTTTTTTTTAAGTAGACGGAACGGGCTCTGCAGCTCGAGAGCAAGGTCTGGTCTGATCTCGCTGTATTTTGACGTTCGCCCGACTAATTGAGGGGACGGCGGGGCGTAACGAGTTTGTTCGACGTAAATGCAGCCTAGCGGAGGCATTAGGTGCGTGATGGGTAATAATACACACACGCATGACACGAAGATGCATGTATACTCACGCATTGCAGCAGGTCTCTTTTATTTTTCCAAGTGCTCCTTCCTAAATTTAAACTTTTAAGCCAAGTATTTCTCTCTTTTATTTGGACAGTTGTACTTAGAGCTTACGGTTTTTTGTAAAGTGTTTTTTTTTGTGTCGCTCATAAATAATCGCATATAACAGTGATTCCACAAAAATACTTCCATCATATGAGTTCCCAAAATAAAAAAAAAAAAAACTGGTTTTAGGCACGTCCTTGAGGTGAAAATTTTTATCTTTCACGTTCCTCCAGTAATACGGGAAAACATGTCAATGAAGTGTTAAAACACACTTTTCCTCTACAGCATTTAAAGTTTTTCATTGATTTCACAAAAATTTTTTAATTTATTTTAACAAACTCCTTTTTTTCCCTAAAATAATTGCTTATTTCGATAAAACGATGAAAAAAGTGTTATCTAAAATTCACTGGAAAAAGACACTGACTCAAATTTTTTTAGAAACCATATCTTTTACAATTTGTTGGGTCAGTTTGAAAATGTTCGTGATAGCCATCATAATTAAGGCCTTCATGAAATATTTTTTGTATAATGTGAGCAAGATTAAAGTTCAAAGAACACTTATACCTGTAGGCAGTGTCGATATCAGTTATGTCATGTTGATTGGTTCTTAATTATTTAACAGTAAATTTATTAAAATTGCCGAATAATTCATTAAAAGATCGAAAGATACAGCAGAGGTATGATTTAATGAAACAGCAACCGAGCCTTTGAACACATTTTAGCTGCAATGTTTCATTGTGATAAAAATTATTGAGTAATACCGATCATGTGAAATGAACTGTCTTTCGCGGCAAAGTATCTCTACGAGCGAACACGTGATTTTTTCCGACAAAACAGATATTTGAAAAGTACCCGAGGCCGACACGTTTTCCAGCCGCCCATTGTGTAAACACGTAAATCGCCTTAGAATCCAAAAAAAAGCAACAACAGATTGTCAAGTTTTTTTTTTTTTCAACCCTCGCGAATTGTATGTTATAGTTGCACCGTGCACACGTTCCTTTCGTAACACCTACACATAATTATAATGTGGCCAAGTCAAAAAAAGCGTGAAAATAAAACTCGAGCATGTTCTCATAAGTCGGATACATACCGACTAGACTGCTTTGATCCGAATGATAAACATTACCTATGCAATTCGTGGGGAGAGAAAAAGAGAGCGGCAATGATCGGATATAGCCGTGAGAAAGCCGCGAAATTGTGAAAATTCACGCATGTAGTATAGGTACCCATACACTGCGGCCGGGAAGCCCAACCGCACGATGTAATTGCTTATCAGCTGTTAGCGTATATATACACGTAGGGGCTTACATGCGCACATCTCTCGGAGCTCCTCTCATGGCCATGTGTGCATTAGTCAGCGTATAGACCGGAAGTGTCGATCTACGCGCTTTTTCCGGCCGAGCGCGATTAATTT